AGAAGCCAGAGCAAGATCATAAGTCTTAATCCTTATCTCGACTCGCAAGGTATTTTAAGAGTGGGGGGAAGACTGAAGAACGCTCATATTCACCATGACATGAGACATCCCATTATTTTGCCACGGAACCATCGCTTCACAGAATTATTAATATATTTTGCACACAAGCTTACATATCACGGCGGAGCTCGTGTTACATTGGCCTTCATACGTAACAAGTTTTGGATAGTTGGCGGAAATAGTATAACAAAACAGTTATTACGGCGTTGTGTCACATGTAAGCGCCAAAAACCAGAAGGACGTTATCAAATAATGGGAGATCTACCAGAAGCAAGGGTAAACCAATCACGCCCCTTCGAGCATACAGGGATAGATTTCACGGGTCATGTTGACGTCAAGAGTAACAAAGGTCGGGGGATTAAAACCAGCAAGGGTTATGTAGCAGTCTTTGTTTGCATGGTGACGAAGGCTGTCCACCTCGAACTAGTTTCGGACTTGACGACTTCAACACTCCTAGCAGCTGTACGAAGAATGGCAGCGCGAAGAGGCACTCCCAGCCACTTCTACAGCGACAACGGTCGAAACTTCGTTGGTGCAAGCAACGTACTACAGCAAGGTTATCAAGATTTACAACACATAATCAATGACGAGTTTTTGGCAGAGATAGCTAATATGGAGATTACCTGGCATTTCAACGCTCCATCATGGCCTTCAGCAGGAGGATTATGGGAGGCTGCGGTAAAGAGTTTTAAATTTCATTTCAAGAGGGTGATTGGTGATCAAAAGCTCACCTTCGAAGAGCTGACGACTCTACTCAGCCAGATAGAAGCATGTCTAAACTCCAGGCCACTCTGTGCAATGTCGGAAGACCCAGCAGATTTGGATTATATAACACCTTCACACTTTTTGACAGGGGGTCCTACTTTGACACTAATAGAAACTGAATATGACTTACGGACTAGATGGCATCTAACTCAAAAAATATTACAAGATATTTGGAAACGATGGCGAATGGAATATTTGACAGAATTAAATAAAAGAAGCAAGTGGAAGCAGCCTCAAAGAAATATTAATTTAGATGACGTGGTGCTAATTCACGATGGTAACCTGCCGCCTGGCAAGTGGGCAATGGGCAGGGTCACGGAACTGCATCCAGGCAAGGACGGATTTGTTCGGGTCGTGACCTTGAAAACCAAGAGCGGTGTAATCAAGCGTCCTGTCGTTAAGCTGTCATTATTATTGGAACATGAAAATAATCAAGATCTTTCCAGCCACCATGCAAGACAAGTGGAAAAAACAAAGCAACGGACTGGAGAGGAAAAATACAAAACACAAAGAAGCACCTACAACCTGATGTCTTTCTTTACCGCTCTACTACTATTTTTCACATTCTTATCAAGTTCAGAAGCTCAAGTCAATATCAAACAATTTCCATCAAATCAAAGCCTATTTTTTGATAAAATATCCGACATGATGGTGATCAAGGATGACTGGAAATTAGTTGTTTATTATAACATGGAACCCTACTGGCAAGGCGTTAATTCATTCAATCGATATATACAAACATTGAGCCAAACATGTGCTAATATCAAGAAACAATCACACTGCGACATAATACTAATGCAATTACAACACGGCTTCTCGGAATTGGAATACTACGATCATATGTTGCTGAACCAGCATGCGAGCACGCGCCCTGCGAGACTGCGTCGGCGCCGGCGAGGCCTTATCAACGGTGTCGGCTATGTAGCTAATAGCCTGTTCGGCGTGTTGGATGAACGTTTTGCTGAAAAATATGAAAAGGACATCCGCATGGTACAAGAAAACCAAAAACACTTATCATTACTTTGGAGAAATCAAACATCAGTTATTGAGGCCGAATTTAACTTATTAAAACGAACCGAAGACATAATGAATAAACAATACAAGTTGATAAACAAACACATGATTGACCTGGACACAGCCCTAAACAAGTTGAAAGGAAACATAGAGACAAGTTACATAATGAGCGATTTTAATACGGGAGCTATTATTGCAAATAATATGTTACAAGTGTTGAAAGGCATTCAAAACACTTTATTAGATACAGTTACCGATATATACCATGGCCGATTTAACTTACATTTGCTTACTCCAGAGCAACTTACGAACGAATTGAGTAACATCGCAAGCAAGTTACCGAAAGATGTGTCTTTACCTATCGACAATATACATACGGAGCTGCGAAAAATTTATAACTTACTTCAAGTAAAAACAAGGATGTTAGAAAATATACTTATATTTGAGATAAAGATACCCCTTATCGGCCGTGACTCATACGAACTTATGAAGATGAGTGCTATACCAAAACAAGTTGGTAATAATATGGTCAGCATCATTCCAGTATCGGACTATATTGCCATTAACATTAAGAAGGATGCCTACATGCTTATGTCTAATTGGGACATACGGTCATGCATTATAACCACGGATTACTATTTATGTCACGTGCAGAAGCCTATTTATCAATTAAGAGATGATAAGAATTTCTGCGAAATAGAAAAATCACAATGCAAGACCACAATAACAACATGCAATAATTATTGGCAAGAAAGTCACTCTACAAATACATTTGTATATTTTTGCTGCGGACGGTGTCAAGTTCGCGCTATGTGCGAAGATCATATGACGGGACATCAGCTGTTAGAGGCCGGCCTTGTACATATAGGTCAGGGATGCATTTTCAAGACTGATGATTTTACGGTTTCTTCGCATAAAGGAGCTTACAGTGAAACGAAGGTGGTTCCCGATATTTACAATTTAGAGCTGGCCCCGATAAATAATATCATCAACTTGTCACTGGCGAATTTCACTTTGAAAAATGAGTCACTTCATCAAGAATTGCAACAAGTGCAAACAGACATACAAGAGCTCAAAGAGTCGAATATATCGATGGAAGAAGTATCACTTCATGATATCCACCACTACACCATGATTTACGGAATAGTGGCTGTGATTGGTATCGCCGCATTAACGTATGCAGTTCGGAAATTCAAGTGTTCCCGCTGCGCCTGGCGAGTGCCGCGTGCGATCGACACCGATGCTGAACCGACGCCGGCCGACGCGCCCCGAGACATCGTCGCTGCGCCTGCACCCGCGCCCGCGCCCGCGCCCTCCTACGCCGTCCCGCGTGTCTCCCGACAACGTGCTCCACGACAACAAGGAAACCGCGCCATTTTTGAATTATAAAATTTATTTAATCATGATTTATTTCTTATATCAGTTATTGTAATTTATTTTATATCAATGTAACATTTCAGTAATTGTGTGACAACATTGACTGGGTCCGTTATGTCCTGTTTTCATCTCGCGCCCTGGAATATGTACGATCAAATCGTACATTTTGCAAGCAAAGCATTTAATTGTTTAGGTCAATATTTTACCGTTTAAATACATTTCATAATCACGTCCAAGTTAGTTCGCGTTTGTCTCAAGCAGTGTGCACACAGTTACATCAAGTTTAATAATAAATATTTTCGTCAAGTTTATCAAGTGTTTTCCTGTCTTCAATATCAAGAAATAGCAATTCAATGTACTGAGTTGACAAGGGCTCGTACAGACTCAAAATATTTAATTTATGTATTTTTGATCTCGGTGAAAGCCCTTTAAAGCTAAGAAAAATGTGAATGTGACATCATAACTTACCTTATTTTCAATTATAAAATGAAAGGGGGAGGTGAACGAGAAAAAGTTAACAGCTAGGTCCTATTAGAATTTTTAATATTACGCAGACGAACTTGTTATATTATACAGGATGTTCAAAAGTCCGAAATAAAAGGGTGTTATTGTGTTCCTTAAAAAGAATTACCTATGAAAGTGTTGTGACGCCTTTCAGAACACTTTTATATTTTGATTTAATTAATAAAAATATTGTTTTTCATCAGCCTATGACAACCCTAAAAATGCGTACGAGAACTATTACTACTACGTAAACAGACGCCCCGCCTACCCAATCAGTCACCCCTTCGCCCCCCGCTTTTTGAATTTGACGTTATATAAGACATTTTCGCCTAGAACCAACAAATTTGTTAATAGTCATGTATGATAATAGAAAAAGCAGATGTTTATTTTAATTTAGCTTTTTTTATGATATCATCATCATCATCATCATCAGCCTATTAATGTCCCCACTGTTGGGGCACAGGCCTTCCCTATGGATGGAATAGGGAGATTGGGCCATGACCCACCACGCGGGCCCAGTGCGGATTGGTGGGTGCTAACGACTGCAGATGCAGCCGGGACCAACGGCTTAACGTGCCTTCCGAAGCACGGAGGAGCTCGAGATAGTAATTTATGGTCACCCATCCAATGACCGACCACTGCGAAAGTTGCTTAAGTTCAACGATCGCAGCCGAACGCGCTAACCACTTGCGCCATCGAGCTCCTTTTATGATATGACATCTGTTAAATCCATATCTACGTTTGTTGTATTTTATGATTGTCACATCTAAGTTTTCGAAACATACATAACATACCTACAAATTTTATTTCGGAATTCTGTAACACCCACGTCTTCGACAGGTATGCTTAATTCATCCGATTTTCAGGTTGACCTGGTGAATTTCCCAAATCAAATCTTTCATACCAACCTCGACAATTGCGAATTCAACAAACAATAAATCCAAAACGTGGCCCAAATCGGTCGAGACGATCTCGATTAATGCTCCATCATACTATTATTATTTCGGTTTTTATTTGCGTTCTAGTCGATGCAAGCACTTCGTCTGCTTTGTTATTGTATTGTTTCCCTGGTTTCACCTTAAATTATTTTTTCACGACAAATAGTAGCCCAGGTTTTCTCCAAGGTCCCCTTTATCTCCCTACCCAAATTAATCGGTTCAGCGGTTTAGTTGTAATGTGTATCAGTTAAAAACCTGATGTTACTTTTGCATTTGTAATAAGGATATAGGTAAATTTATTCAGGAGCTATAAGTTTCATAGGGTTTTTTCTTTTGTTTCAGCAATGCAATGACGTCGCACTAATGACGTATCTAGGCACGATTACAAAGGGCTGCAACGCAATTAATCAATTGGTAAATAGGTTTAATGTGTTATACGACCGGCAGGGGATGGGGCGACGCATGCGCGGACTATTCTTTTAGGGGAATTAGTATCGTATTCGCGACATAGAAATTGTGGAAAAATCAGATTTAAAATTACTATACTAAATACCAGTAAGTACAATGCTTATCTTATAATATGGAATCTCTGAAATTAGATACGGGTTACTTTGTAAAAAATAATGATAATCGTCGCCAAGTTATATGATGGTATTGTATATACTTTTGAGCTCGTTTATGTTGCCAGTGCATTATAGATATGCATTATATACACTTAGATAGACACGTTTGTTCGTTCGTAAAGAAGGAATAATAGATGATGTCTTGTTTCAAAGTCGATAAAAACGTGTGTTATCCGAAAATCGACTTAATTAGAAATTACTTCTTATGTGTATTTTTCCATATATTCTATGTCGAATCTACTGTAAGATATTTCAATGAAAAATATAATAATAAGTTATGATATTATTTCTATTTTAAAAGAACTGAAATCAAAACACTAAAACATTGAAAAATAACAGAAATATTTTTAATCCAATATTTATGTATTGGTTGTATTCATAACTAATTTCATCATCATCGTCAGCCTATTAATGTCCCGACTGCTGGGGCACAGGCTTTCCCTAACTAATTTACTTTATCTCAAAAGACTAAAATGGCAGTAATACGTACCTTTCTATATCAGTCAGTTGCCTAGCGTAGTAGCTTAATAATTATTGTGTGTACTTTAATAAATATTTTTTAAGATAAATATATCTTTTATTTCAATTCAGTATTGTTAGGAATAATGGTTTCTCAAAAGAATCTTAAAGTATTGATACGCTTTAATTTTTGATAGTGAAATACATCTTTGTACCAACGGTATAAGGTATAATAAGTATCATAACACAATGATAACTCCGATACTGGTAGTACAAATGAAAAATATTTTGATGAGACGCAATAAAATTTATTTCGCATCATACTGGTTGAGTATTCTCATAATTACACAAAATTAACAAACTTTGGACACATTGAGATTCATGCTATGGAAGACCTTTTCGTAGAAGTTGATTCGTCTTGTGGTGGCACTATAGTGATTTTGCATTTTGCCTTTTATAATTATCATAATATCGATTTGCATATAGCTTAATCGCCGCACTTGGATCGTGTTAAAAACTCAAACTATATTAATTTTAATCTAATTGCATATTTTTTTAACTGATTTACTACGTGACAATAAGAACCATATTCGTAGCAACGTAATCGCCTTGACTTTACGGACTCAAGTGTCAAATAAGTCGACATTCAGGTCCACTTGCGGCTTTCAAATTTGCTAAATCTCGATTTATCTTAAACTAGCTTTAACCCATAAAAGTAACTAAAATTAACATTGACGTTTTGACATTATTTAATGGGTAACATCATGTTTTAGTTATTATTTTAGTAAGTGGGCCCTATAGGCAGACCGTTTAACTGAGACCTGCGGGGGAAAACCTCCCCCACACCCTGTACCGCGCAAGCGAGATCTCAGTTAAGCGGTTTACCTACAGCTGGTTGATACGTTTCTGAATTTAAACGTTGTCATGAGCTAGTTAATAAATAGCATCGGAACGTTAAAGAGTTCTTAGCGAAAAGATAAAATACTTCAAATATCTAGTGCCTCCATCAGACTGAACACATGACAATAACTCAAAAGGAGCATTCTGTTTGGTTATTGTATTTCTATCTAGTTTTCTTAAATAGAAAAAGCAAAGCAGGTTAAAAAATTAAAATACAACCTCAATATATACAATAATACTTAAAGCCATAGAAAAAAATCAATGAAATTAAGAGTAACAGATGCACTGCATATTTGAACTCGTTGGGTGTTCCATTTATGCAGTGCCAATACTTTTGAGTTACAGTAACACATACCTATTTTAAAGAACATAAAAATTAACAAATAAAGTGTAGTTATCCAAAATGGTAATTAAGACAAAATATTCCAATAAACTTTAAAGTAATGCTTGGCATAAAGTTAGCATAAATTCATTGATATGAAATGAAGGTTTTTTTTATCTGAACTAGTTATTTTTGTTTCTATGGCTTTTTGTAATAATTAAGTAGTTATCTGGTAATTTTTAAAGTGCTCATTTTAATATTTTTTGTTATTTAAGTGCCTAATGATGAAATTAAGAAACAGTATGATAAAATCTGTCCCTGTTATATTTTTTTTTTGTAAAATTGTAATTGTAAATCACGTTTGATTAACTTCTTATCAATCATATTCTTAACATTGTTGTAATAACTTATTATATAACATTACACTTGTACTGTAATCGATAGATTTGTATAAAAATATTTTTAAAGTTGTTAATATTAATCGAATCAACGCTATTATTGCTTTTATTTAGCTACTTAATAAAGAGTATCTAAAATTGTGTAAATTGTAACATATTCATACAAAAGAGATATTAATATTTACGATATAGGTACAAATAACATCATTTGCAGTAGCTCTAATTTTATATGAATGTACACTACTGGATTAAATGCAACTTGTGGGCAAAAATGTTTCATGACAGTAAGAGCAATCGATCATTAAGCCACTAAACGTGACCACTAGTGGCTCAGTTAAGCTGTGGCCGCGATTAGTGGCTCAGTTAAGCGATGTGCTAGTTCTAACAGTTGTTACGGCACTTTAATGCTTTTACAAACATGAGACTTACTTCCCTTGGTGTAGCTATCGTATACGGACTATGGGAGAGAGTTTACAAAATAATTTTAATTAAAATCACAAATAAATAGCCCCCTTTCGTGAAGTCACAAGCAGAGTTTTAATTAACGAAGTTCCTATTTATTAGTCTCTCATTCTTACTTCATATCTATAGAAGTCCCAATTTCCCCTAACACGCCGGAATTTCTGTCTGACCAGCTTAGAACGGGATTGCACAAACAGTTATGTAAGAATGTATACAAAACTGCAAATACACATTGTCGAAAACAAAACGAACGAAAAGGTTAAAAGTAGGTACATGCAAAAATATCACCGTTCCAACGTATAGCGGTCCGTTCACGCGTTTTGAACTCTATGTCTTTCGTGATAAGGGCGGCGTCGCGTGTGCTATGTGTCGTCTGGTGTCTTCTCGATGCCGATTAGTTCGTCAAACAGTGAGTGGTTGTCGGGTATCACGTGGGGCTCGTGTAGCGTCTGCCGGGCGAATTTGAGCACCGCTCGCGTTAGCTGACCAACTGTCCACTTTCTGTCTACTATCACTCGAACCAGGGTATCTAGCTGCAAAAGAGAATTACATGTTGATGTTCATCGTTTCCCGGCACGGACTGTCATTGCGGTAAGTGGAAGGTTCATTTATGGATACTTCCTTAAATAGACGCAGGCGCACCAATTTCTATCAAAAACAATTAGGATTGCGCGAGTGCGATCCATACTTTATGGCGTCTGTGAAGTTGCGCAAACATGCGCAAGTTCTAGTACAGCGGTTTCCGTCACATCAGCCTACATTTCGTATACTGCGCCGCGACTTGCGCTAACTTCACTGTCGCTATTAAGTTTCAATCGCACTATACACCTCTCATTCTCTATTCTTAATTCCTTTAATCATCTTTATTACAATGATATCATATGATTTGATTTATTTATTTACAATTAAGAGATATTTGGCTTACTGTCTTACTGAAAGACACTTCATGAGAAAAAGACACAGGCATAATCATTTACGCGGATGCATCTATTCCGTATTTAAATCATCTGTCTTAGTGAGTTCGTTAATAATGTTTAAAGTGGCGTACTATACAATACTATACAAAAACTCTTTATTGTACACCACAAAAAACATTGAACATTAAGTACAAACAAAACCATCCAGTACAAGTGATGCAATGGACGGCCTTATCGCTTAAAGCGATCTCTTTCAGGCAACCTTTGGTACCTTGAACAGCTTCTCATTCCCGAAGGTGTAGTAGATGAGGGCGGGTACTCCAGCCACGCTGGCCGCGAGCCACTGCAGTAGCATCTTGAGCTGGGCGTGCCCGCGCTGTCGGCTGCCGCAGCCCCAATTTCCAGTCGCCACCGGCCGGTTGGAACCACCTGACACGATTTTGTGCGCCAATTGGCTCAGCTGCAAAACGATTAAGAGTCATTTCCCGTGTATAGTTTGATTTTTAAGAATCAACTGATCGACATCTTTTGTACAGTTTACATAAGCTGCTGTTTATTATAATAACGAAAACAATTAAAAAGCTTGAAACAGTTCCCCATATAGGTATTTACAATCATGGTCATGGTGTCATGGGCGCATTGGCTAGATTTTAGATGTAAGGCCGGTTTAAAACCAATTTAACCAATCCGTTTAAAACGAAAAAAACCGTTTAAAACCGAAATAAATCATTTTATCGATTTAAAACGGTTGGTGTTGATGATCTCAACACCAAAAAAAAAAATGAAAAAAATTTTGGTATTGTGTTAATGATGTCTTTTATTTTAATCTAGTGTGTGTAATATAATATATGTATAATAAATAAGTGCTTAAGTATGAAGGTACCTACATACCTACTTTAATTTTTTATGGTACCAAGGAAATGTACGTAGGTACTTTCTATTGATTTTCTTTATACGAACCATGACGTCAGGTGACCCAAAATTGACCATAATGAAGTGTAAAAACATAGTTCTTTTATTTTTGTATGCCAGTTTTCAACCGTTTAAAACGATTTATTTGGGGTTTAAAACGGCAACATTTTGTTTAAAACTTTAAATCGGTTGTTTTACATCTATAGGCTAGATGCCTACTAGCATGTTCAGCTGATTTATCGAATATTAATAACATTGCGTGTTGTTAGAAAAATGATAAAAAAATATTACTTTTGGTGAAGCTGTTCTAGTAAATTAACCTCACAACATTGTGATATAAATACGGCGAAAAAAAATGGGAAAAAATATTTTTTGTGGTATCTTATCGAGAATCAGTAACTCTACCCATAAGTATATAACATATTATGGTAAAAGTATTGTAAAGCTCATAATCCTTAAAGGTGCACTGGTAGGTGCGGAATTTTTTAGTATTTCAGTAAAAAAATACGCAGACGAGAAGTTTTAATTTCACAAAATGATAGTGTTTTGACAGAAAGCGAAAGTTGAAACGATTCAAATGGAAGTAGTTAAGTAAACACATTAATGAATTTTGTAGGTAGGCATTACTGTGAGTTATTGGATGAGATAGTTTGAAAATTAGCGACAGACAGTTACACGTCTGACCTTTGGTTTCTTTAGTTTTACAGTGACCGGTTCGCATATGACGTTCTCTTCGATCGTTTCGACGATCATGTTTATCACCCAATTCAATTTTTTCTTCCTAACGGCAGGATTAGATATTTGCGTATTGCACGATTCGGTTGAGGTGCTGAACTCTGAGCAATGTCTACTGCTTGTCTCCGCCACATCTGCGTCTCTTATCTTGCTGCTTTCTAGTATCTCTTCCGGGATACACTCTTTAACTTTACGTTTCTGTCAAAACATAGCAATTTGTGAAATGTGTAACATCATAATTATTATCAACCTACTTAGGTATTACGACCCTACTGCTGGGGTATAAGTCTTCCCTACGGCTGGAATAGAGAGATTAGAGCCATGACCAAGCGGGTGGGAGCTCACGACATCAGATGCAGCCGGGACCAATGACTTAACCTGCTTTACGAAACACAGGAGCTTTGTTTGTCACTTATCCTACGTGCTAACCACTTGCGGCATCGAGCTCCTCAAAATGTGTAACATAAATATAAACAAAATGGGTAAGTAAAGTTTTCACGTTAATTTTTCTCAGATATCTAGAGCGCGTTTAACAGTAGGTTTAGATTTGAAATCAAAAGGGTTTTGTTAGGTTTACTTATATTAAAAGACTGATTAGATTGATAGTAGATTTCTGATGCGAGAAAGAGCATGGATGCTGTGGTTTGGTATTTTAGTTTGTTGGTCGAGCGACAATAAGCGCGCGGCCCTATCGGTGTTCATGAGGAGATAAAGGTTATATGAGTACCAATTACGCGGCGAGGCGGTACAGTTGGCGCGCTAACTCCAGCGACGTTCGTCTGGACTCCGGTCCGTACAGTTCGGCAGCTTTCGCGGCCCCCTCTAACTCCTGAACCTTAGATCGCGTCGCGTACGTCCCGCCCGTACAGCTTCACGGCTTCCGCGACCCCCTCCGACCCCACGCCGAGTAAGTCGCACGCCATAGATTCACTCAGCGTGCACATCAGTAGTGACCCCGCGAATCTTGAATTGCACTATAGAAGCTACATATTATAAAAGTACCAGTTGTGTGGCGAAGCTGTAGCGGTGGAGCCAGCTGGAGGTGGAGCGACAGTGAGCGCGCGGCGAGTGCCAGGTGCAGCGGGGTCGCAAGCGTCGGGCCCGTACAGCTCGGCGGCTTCCGCGGTCACCTCAGACCCGGCACCGGACAAGTCGCACGCAAAAGATTCACTCAGAGTGCGCATCAGTAGTGACCCCGCGAATCTTGAATTGCAATTTAGAAGCTACAGGTTATATAAGTACCAGTTGCGCGGCGAGGCGATGCCGGTGGCGTGCCAGCTCAAGCGACAGAGAGCGCGCGGCGAGTGCCAGACGGCGCGGTGCAGCGCGGTCGCGTCCGTCCCGCCCGTACAGCTCAGCGGCTTCCGCGGCCCCTTCTGACCCCACGCCGGGCAAATCGCACGCCATAGATTCACTCAGGGTGCGCTTCAGTAGTGACCCCGCGAATCTGAGATTCAAAACATAACACCAGTTAAAACTCAAGCGGTCTCATAGGACCGCGCGGCGTTGGGCTGCGTCAGCAGTGTTGCCAACTCGGATTTTGAAAAAGGCGTAGGCCCGATGAGAAAATTACGTAGAATTAGTAAAATTTGCATATGAAAAGTTCGTAGATCTACGTACTTTTTTCTGAGTGAAATGAAGAAGTTACGATAGGTGAAACCGAATAAAACCAGTATTTTACTTTACAATTTCTTTAAAAAAAGGAGATACCACATAGAGTTCTGGGAGAAGACGCTGCATTGGCAGCATTTACCATGCTATGGTAGACATTTACCATCAGACACAGACACTAAACTTAAAACAAAATTTAACATCTGTCTATCCTTATTATTCTGTATAGAGAATGACAAGGATACACTGTTGTCAAATAGGCTTGTTGACACTTTTTGATAATTATTGTTCTATTGGACCGAAAAAATGTATTGTATTTTTTTTTACGTAGAAAGCTACAAAACTTTAATTTTAAAATAGATTTTTCATGGACATACAAAAACGCTGTTGCCATTTTAATGTATAGATTTATCTATGCTATGACGTCAAAATATTTGTATACAAATACTTACAAGCACGTAGGAAATAAACTATCTGGGTTTATATTATAAAACCATGATTTCTAATAGATTACACGAACAAATAGTAATTATCATGATTGTATTATACGACAATGTAGAAACACATCGTTAAGGACTCCAGAAAAATTGTGGTTTAAATTGCCTAGAGAAATAAACATACCTACACATGAACACATGTTTAAAACTTGCTTAATCCTGTAACTTTATCAACTGAAACTTATTTCTTTTTACAAAGATTACTTCGATGAAAGTACTCATTCAATAAGTTTAAAAATACAATTTTCAAGGTAATGTACCTACTATGTCAAATGGTTTTGTCGTTTCTGCTTTCACAAATCCGGCGTGCAGCATTCATTTAGTCAACAAAACCTATAAACGGAAACTTTTCTACAAGATATAAGAGTTTTTAGATATATATTAATCCGACGAAAGAAACCTCAGTAACACGACAATGACGTTTAGTTGTTTACAAATTTTGTAACGTCACATTCATGGCGGACAGCATTTTCAGAGTTTAAAAAGTAGGAATAAAAACAATTTTTCGAATTAAATTACTACAGCCATCTTCTAATTTTATGAAGTTAAATCGATCTATTTAGGTTCCTCATACCAAAAATGATAAGAAATAAACATTTGTATAGTTTTTAAATAATGTAACAGAAAATATGCTTCTTTATTCTACTGAGTTATGTTATTTTACAAATTTGTACAAATAGAAAGAAAATACGTAGATTCTGGGACTGAAGTTAGTAGGTTTGCAGAAAAGGTCTAAAATACGTAGATCTACGTAAAAATACGTAGAGTTGGCAACACTGTGCGTCAGTCTCCTCCGGCACTTCCTGGGTTCCGCCGGTTTAGCCCAGGGTGTGTGACAGGCACAGCGCGTTTGGGGTCTCGGTAGCATGGAGATTTAGTGCACCCGTCCAGATAGCTAAGGGCGGCCATTTTCCGCCAACCCTATATGGAGGTTGACGAGTTAAAGGGTGAAACAAGCATGGTCATGGATCGTCTGATAAGTTCTTAGGGCTTCTCCATCACTTAATTTGTGGCTCTGCGTGCACACTCAGTAAGGGAACGCTTCGTAGATTAGACTATCTAGCTTCCTCCATCAATAGCACACATCGGGTAACTTTCTCGCAACCATCCCTCACTTGTTTTGTATGCATAAAAAACTCGCTCCGCTAAAGCGTTTTTAACAGAGCAGTACTGTACTGGCCGAGGCGAGGTACTGACTGAATTAAGCGATTCTATTAGTTCTTTACAAAGACATCCTTTACTACGCATCCTCGTCTCGCACATCTCTGGTGGAAACACAGTCTTATACTTTTGTTTCGTTACCGATCTGATCGAATATATAGAGCAAGACATACGGTAGTAATAGTACTGGTAATATTACCTTACCTTATCACAGCCAAATCTCGGGAGTCCAATTCCCGTGCTTTATGTTCTCCAGAAGTCGACTCTACAATTGGATCGTTTAGCCACTGATTAAATTGCTCGTAAACCTCTTCTAATTCTGATCTGTAAATAGGACAATTAATTAAATTATGTATGGTTGTTTTCTTATGGTATCCAGAGGACTGATTGTGTACCTACTCCTTCTATTGTCTTCGTTGCATTGTTACACCGGTTCCATACATATTTTGGAAAGAGATTTATATCTGTAGATTAGCTTATTACTCATGTCACGAAAGATTTAAAGTTTTCAAGCAAATTAGCTAAAAGATTTTTATGCTTTAACGATAATTTAATTATATCTATATCTGAATTTACTTACGTGTATTCAGTGCTGAAACTGTATTTGGAACTATTTCCTGTTTCCTTCCTGCCCAACGGTCGACGTCTCGGACACGGGTCGCAGCCGTTGCTTATAGTCTCTTTTTCAGTTAGCACAAAGCCCACGGAACCCCCACGTTTGACTCTGAAAAGAGGAAGATTAATAATTAAAATGTGAACTCTATGAAGTGTCCAATACCATGGCCTCCTTATAAACAAAATAGTGCACAAAAAAGAAAACAAGTAACGGTTATTTGAAGTGAAGATGCTCGTGTTCCACCGAGTCCAGTGCATCCAGCTGATGCCGAGCAGATCCGTCCCAAAGGTGACAACAGTACTCCAAGCAGGAGCGAACTTGGGCTCGGTAAAGATTAAGGAGCTGCTCAGATGATATCGTTGTCGTTGTTGTGGACCATGGAGATGCTGACGCCGACCGCGTAGCTGTCGGTGGTGCTGATTGTGCATGAGTTCTCTTCATATAAACTATTCAATATTGATTCATGCTAAGGGCACTGGTGGAGCACAAGTTCTCCGTCTTGCGCCGCAGCGCTTTTATAGAGTGCGAATTCTCATTCGCGCTTTTTATAGGTATAAAGTGTTATGTTAAGGATATTACTTGATATCGCTGTCGTGAACCCCCGCCCCGGAGATGCTGACGCCGACCGCGTAGCTGGAGCTGTCGGTGGACCAGTCACCGGTGGTACTGGTGGTGCAGGAGTTCTCAGCTTCACGTCGCAACGCGTCGCGCAGGCGGTCCGCGAAGCTCATTCGTCGCTCCTCCGTAGACAGGTCTTTGGAGTATTGGAATGAATTGGGCCGGGCGCTCTCGCCTCTGCCTTCGTCTTCGCTGCCACCTACAAAGAGGATTTAGCTTATTTATGGGCGCACACAGAGAAGAACTAACATTTGAGTTAGTTGCATTATCTTGAGATGAGGTGCGATGAGTGATATAAGAGCGCCCCGTCTCCTCGTCATGATTCGCGGTCATCCAGTCCGCTGGACCTACGCTACGCGTCGGTACTGTTAACGGTTACGAGTTTACGATCTCAGCAAAATATTGAGTGCCGACATAAAGAAGTTCGTTCAATATTAGATTAGACTTTTTTTACTATGGAAAAGACAACAGAAGTGTTGGGTTTCTGTTGGTAGGTAAGGTTTCAGGGCAGGGGATTGTGGGTCAGGGTAGGCAACGGTGCGAGTGATAATTTTGGTATTGCAAGTATCTATAGGCTATGGTGGCCGCTTACGCTACGCATACGCTTGTTTTCCACCCCTTTGACCTAAAAAAAATCATATACGCAAAACAGGCGTGATAAGACGCCGAGTTTTGTAATGAAGAAGAAGACTAAAAGACAACACAGGCACACTCTCGCTCCTTTAAACTGTGACTAGACCTTCGACCTTCTTTCTCGATTACTCAACGAAAAGAATATTTATTATGTTTCATTGTAATGTCGTAGTTATAAAGAGTTAAAAAGAGCAGCTCTCCAGGAACCTAGGATTTAGCTTGATCCATGTCTCTGACTTTTCAGGAAAAAATCATTTTCTTTTTATATTATTGGAGTTTACTCCTTAAGAATCGATTTGCATATTTATGGGGCCCGGTATGAGAAAAAATGTGAGGAGTAAAATCTATCGATGAATGACCTCGTTACGTTTTTGGTGCGGATCCTGTTCGAGCCATCATGACTCTTAAATAGCGATGGGCGTGTAAACGAAAAGCGCTTAAATAAGCGCGCTTAAAATATTAAGCTTGTAAGCACGCTTTTAAGTAGGTATAAGCGTTATAAGCTTTTCACTTAAAAAGTGTGAGTAAGCTTTTCACTTAAAAAAGTGCAAGTATATTTTTTACTTAAAAAGTGCAAATCCCGCCATCTATGTCTGCCAGGAAACTAATACTTCGATCCTTCTAGTCCACTACAGTATCGAAAAATGGGTACGCGGAATTCCTTGGAACTAAATATTTCACAATATCACAGACATAGAACGCGCGACTACAGCGCCGCGTCGGCGTGCCATCTTTCGTGAGCCGGTTAATACAGCATGCGAATTATTATAATGCGACGTAAAAAAAATGCACTTTTTTAAAATTTGGTCGGATAACCAACGCTTTTTTCGTTAAAAGCGTTTAATTAAACGAAGTCGAAAAGCAGTACGCTTGTCACTGTGACGGGGTAAGAGCGCGTGGGTGTTGTACGGTGTGTTTGCATGCTTGCTTGTGTTAATGCGTTTCGTGTATTGGTTTAATGTGCATATAAAATAGTTAAAGGTATGTATATAAAATCAATGAACTTTTAAGTACGCCTGGATCACGAGTATATTAACTCCACACAGTCCTAAGCTTGTAAAGTTCGAAGGAAAGTTCATTGACTATTATAAAAATGTTTATTATAAAATCTAAATTCAATTGAAAATCTTTCGTTTTTAATGCCAATCAATTCATTAGGTTTAAAAAACTTTTTAATAAAAATTTCATTAATAAGAAGAAAAAAAATGGTTGCCTGTAAAGTCGGTTTTACGGGCGAAGATTTTACGTGACAACGTCTTTTTCTCGGTAGAATATTTATTGATATGAATATAATTAAATTGCACAATAGGAACAAGGAATTGAATGAAAATAAGAATTGCACAAATTTTAACTATAGAAATATATTTTGTTTACTAAAACATTGTACATGTAAACTTAAACTTAACACGAGAGACTCATCGTAACGTTACCGAGCGTTACACTTTTTCATAAGTGACTCCCAGCCGCAACCTAATTTAAGACGTTGTCACGTCAAAAACGCAATAAAACACTTAAACACATTAAAAACGACAATAAACTAGGGATGATCGATATTCATCGATGTTGAATAAACATCGATGTTTAACTGGAAAACATCGATGTTTTAACTTCGATATCATCGAAACATCGATGTTACTAGAAAAAATATCGAAACGTCAATTATGCTTTTGGGTGCCGTCTGGCGTGCATTAGGTGTACTAGCTTCAACTAAATGTTGCATAATCATTAGCAGATGACTATCAAGTTACAACTACATATTTTCCACTAAAACACTGATCAAAATAATCAGAGTAAGCCCAAAGCCGTATGTACGAATAAGTTTGTTTTCATTTCTCAAGAGATAAATAAAATACTGTCAACTTCAATCACATACACATACACCTACGTTTACTCTCATTATAAAAAATGGAGCCCTTTAAGATGACCTGTCATCAGAGCCGGGCCTTTGGCCATATATTTTATTTCATGTTTAATCGGAACTAGTCCAGGCAACGAAAAGGTATAGAGGGAATTGCTTAGAACACAATTTTTGACTTCGTGACTTTGTTAGGACTAGTTAGGAGGTAAACATATCAAAAGTCCCCGCCCGTAGCCCTTAAGCCGGGGGGAGGGATGGGGATTGAAGGTCCCATTTTTAGGTTTTTCGCATATATCTCGAAAACTATGCATCCTAGCGACATGAGACTTTCACAAAAGTGAAAGCTGATTAAATTTGCTACAAGTCTTATTCAGTCAAATTTTTTGATATCTTGTATAGTTTTCGAGATATCCGCTCTTGAAAGTCTGTAATTATGGAAAAAAAATTTGTTCCCATTTTTGCTCTATTTGACCGGATAACTCTTCAACAATGCACCCAAAAAATAAATGCCGGCCGTAGGGTTGTAGAGCATTAAATTATCTTTAATAATAGAAACAATTGCCTTTTTTTTTATTTAAGGACAAAATTGTTAGTGTAGTAGACGTATGGGGGCGGTACGGTGGGCACTAGGCCGCGTACTCAGCCCCCACGCGCGGGCCGTACTGCGCACGTCTGTGGGGTCCTCGCGATACCCCGGGAGACCCCTGCCGCGGAACCTCGGCAAGGCCGGGAGGCTGCTAGGTGCGGAGACGCGGAAGAATCCCTAAACGGGGATTCCGCGGCTTCGCACTAAGCAGCTTAGAGGGTGTTCGCAGGGTTTTTTAGCGGATATTATGCCGTATAGCGCCCGTAAGGGTTACGGGATCCTCAGTGGGCAGCCACTGCTGGGGCTCGTAAGGCTTGCGGGAGCCAGGTGTGAGGTCCATAAGTAAAAAAGAAAGTAAATTAGTGTCATTGAGAAACTGTAATTATCTAATAATAATATCTGTAATAATGATATCCGCTCTTGAAAATCTGTAATTATAGAAAAAAAAAATGCTTTACATTTATGCTCTATTTGACCGGATAACTCTCGGATAACTCTTTAACGATGCACCGATGTCTAAATAGCACACATGCTCATTTTAGAATATGTACTTGTTGGCCCACTGACCAGGTTCTTCACGCAATCCAGAAAATAAGTTTAAAAAAACTGCAAGAGTTAACTACTTTATGCAAAAAAGGTTATTATAAATTAGATGATTATTTAAATGATAAGATTGTCTGGTGTTGTATTGGTCCAGCTCAACACAAAAAGTAGTATTAAGAATGTTTAAAATTATAAAACTGGACTTTAAAAAAAATTGAGACGGTAGGGCCCTGTGCCTCTGGTTTTTTTCCGGTTCTCATTGGCTATACAGGTACGAATACGGCAGCAGTTTTCGATACAATTCACTATGACGTGCAAAAAGAGATTTGTAAAAAAATCCAATATAGTTAATTTCTTGCTCTTTTGGGGTGGGAAGGACCTTGATCCTCGTCTTCGTTTACATTTTCTTTGTCTGTGTCATTTTCTCCATCGGAACCCTGTAGGGAAACGGTCAGAGGATCCTCCTGTTCTTCTTCACCTTCGGAGTCAACTTGAGGGACCCCATTCAAGCAGTTCCCCTGGCAATTTTGGCACGCTGGGGAACAGGAACGCAGGACACCCCCTTTAGTCAATACGTCTACTACGCTTTTTTTTTGTACGCAGGCAAAAAATACTATTTACAGACGACGGCACCTTTAAGAGGCACACCGCCGAACGGACCTCACACCTGGCTCCCGCAAGCCTTACGAGCCCCAGCAGTGGCTGCCCACTGAGGACCCCGTAACCCTTACGGGCGCTTTACGGCATAATATCCGCTAAAAAACCCTGCGAACACCCTCTAAGCTGCTTAGTGCGAAGCCGCGGAATCCCCGTTTAGGGATTCTTCCGCGTCTCCGCACCTAGGAGCCTCCCGGCCTTGCCGAGGTTCCGCGGCAGGGGTCTCCCGGGGTATCGCGAGGACCCCACAGACGTGCGCAGGACGGCCCGCGCGTGGGGGCTGAGTACGCGGCCTAGTGCCCACCGTACCGCCCCCATACGTCTACTACACTAACAATTTTGTCCTTAAATAAAAAAAAAAGGCAATTGTTTCTATTAATGAAGATAATTTAATGCTCTACAACCCTACGGCCGGCATTTATTTTTTGGGTGCATTGTTGAAGAGTTATCTGGTCAAATAGAGCAAAAATGGGAACAAATTTTTTTTCCATAATTACAGACTTTCAAGAGCGGATATCTCGAAAACTATACAAGATATCAAAAAATTTGACTGAATAAGACTTGTAGCAAATTTAATCAGCTTTCACTTTTGTGAAAGTCTCATGTCGCTAGGATGCATAGTTTTCGAGATATATGCGAAAAACCTAAAAATGGGACCTTCAAGCCCCCCCCTCCCCCCGGCTTAAGGGCTACGGGCGGGGACTTTTGATATGTTTACCTCCTAACTAGTCCTAACAAAGTCACGAAGTCAAAAATTGTGTTCTAAGCAATTCCCTCTATACCTGTTTTTGAGCATTCGTTGCCTGGACTAAACATAATCTACTTTAGAATCCAATAAAAACATTACATCTCTCTCAAAAATACGTGTTTATGTTTTAATATTAAAAAGTACACTCTTACCGAGACACCCTATTTAATAAATAAAACATTTCATATTATATTTTAAAAGACAGTTTTTTTTTCTAAAAACATCAATGTTTTAGACATATCGATGTTTTTCTATGGATATTTGTCGTACATCGATACTTTTGATTCGATGTTAACATCGATGTTTTTCTAATATCGATCATCCCTACAATAAACTTTTCACGCTTTTTAAACGATACCTATACCTAAACGAAAACACAACACAACGTCGCGCTTTTTACGCATGGTTTTAAACGTTTAAGCCAATAAGCGTTTAAACGAAAAAGCTTTTTTTCAAGCGCGCTTATTTTAAAAAGTACAAAGTTTAAACGCTTTTAAGAAATAAGCCGATTTTTCCATCTCTACTCTAAATCCGAGATAAAAAAAAGAGAAAAATTAAATTGAAACTACAGTGTATTTTGTTAGATCATAAATTTCTTTATTAGTTAGGTGACGTTTTGCCTATATGTAGCTCCAAACATATTTGCAAGCGTGATGCAACGGCCTACAGCGCCATCTATTTTGATACATATGAACTAAAATTTTATATGCACAAATGGCGTATACATAATCGCCCTATATATACATAATTAATGTAAAATATTTCGTCGATTAGTTATAATAAATGTATATGAAATGAATAAATATATATTTATATATGTATATTATTTTCATTAATTTGTTAATTTACCCTTTCATACAGTATCACTCTTTTTAAGTTAAATAAACTCTTTCTGCGTCTGGTTAGACTATCGAACTTAAGGAGTAAACTCCAGTCGTGCGTCGGAGCTGATACACACAATTCTTTATACACTTCAAAAGTAGGCATCATTTACCCGGCCTCGTCTCGAAAGCCGAACCATTGAAGGAAATCTTCGAGTTTTTGTAAAAAAAATAAACTTGCTTATTGTTCTGTGTAGTACAGCTTAATAGATGTTTTAGTACTTCAGAGCAACTGGTTCCTGTAAAAATTTGCAAAGTTCCTGAAAAATTGAGATTGAGAAGAGAAAAATCAAAATACTTTTATGATAAGAAATGCAGAAAATCTTATTCCTTAACAACAGGTCAGAATGTGGCTGTCCAAATAAGCCCAGAAAGCAGCAACACATGGAAATTAGGAGTTGTTGTTGAAAGAGTAAGTGAAAGATCATATAAAGTAAATGTAGATGGTGTTATTTACAGACGGGACATAACACATATAAAACCCTACAAAAGGATCAAGCGAAGAAACAGTTTCTGAGAAAAATAATGTAAGGAAAGAAAGGAAAAGTGTGTCTAACAGTGATGCTAATCAGGACTGTGAATTAAATAACAAACAAAATAGTGATAATATAGATTATGGTTGTGATTTATTTATTAATGACAATAATGTAAACTCTAGTGTAACCTCTTCTCCAAGTGAATCAAATATAGATATTTCTAGGCCTGTACGATCAAAGGGTATCCCAGTAAAGTACAGAGATTATACATTGTACTAAAAATTTATTTGAGTGATAAAAAGTGATAATAATAATTAAAGGGTATTGATTTGTATGATGTAGGTACATATATGATTTCTGATTATGTAAGATAAGGTACTGAGATGCTTGTTAAAACAGAGAGGATGTTCTGTGTAGTACAGCTTAATAGATGTTTTAGTCTGTGGCTAATATGTAGCCAAGTTATGCTAACCTGTGTGACTTACACTTTTGACTCTGGCTCTTGAGATATGTAACCATTCTATATTAACTTGATTTCTATTAAATTAAAAGACATTGTTAAGTGTAACAATTATTTAATAAATCTGTTATATCTTGGAGTATATGGCGTACTTATTAACACTTATTAACAAGAAAGCGGACCTGTCCCAGTATGTATACTCACCATAATCGAAGCTGTCGTTAGCGCTGTGGTACTCGTCATCGCTGGAGTTGCAGCTGGAATAGAGGCTGTCCTCCTGCGTGTCGAGGGTCGGCAGCCCCGGGCTCCTGGTTACCGGCAGACACTCTCCCGAAGAGCCTAGCACGATGAACCTGCCCCGTCGGTTGTTTAGCGTGTCCGTGTCGGGGGAGAGCCAACATTTTCGTTTTGTTAGTTCGACACCTGAAATTTTATACGCATATTACCTATGTATGATATTGTTTCATGGACAGTTGTAGAACTGATAGAGCTTTAAAGGTTTTGCGTTGCGCTCCCGAAATGATAGGGCATATGCATGTTTTTTTAATATTAAAATTTTGTAGTTTACAGCTTCTTTATACAGTATAAAAAAATCAAGGTCGAAAATTAGTTGTCTTAAAAAAAATAAAATAGCCATTTATATTTTTACGTCACAACTGCTCTAGTCGCGTTTTAAATATTTTAATTTCTCACAAGTATTTCGTATTTTTATATAATAAACTTCTTGCTCGAAAATAAAATAATTAACAAATATTGATGAAGGGATAACTTATAATAAGTAATATAGTAATAGAGGTTATATAAAAATAATATGAGGCTTATTTGAATTACATGTAGGTATATTCCCTATTATGTGGCAAGTTACATATCAACTGCTTTGTTTTACAAAACTACCTAAATGAGAAGCTGGCGTTTTCTTATTTCTTTCTTTATCAGACAGCCTGTTTCCAGGTGTTCTTGGGAATTATAAACTAACTTTGCTGGTTTCTTTACTTTGTTTTTTTTATTTTAAACGATTTGTTTCATGGTCTTTGATTAAAATTGTTTTCAGATTTATGTAAGTGGTAAATCTCTTCTGTTTTAATACGGGTCTTGCACTTAATTTCATGCATTTATTTATAACGATCTACTTACTAGGATCGTTAAGGTTTATTGTAGCCGCGCAGTAGTTTTGCGGCGACGGACTTCTGCTGTTGAAGCTGTTAATTGTGCTACAGGAGGAGGCTTGTTTCACGACCACTGTCGCTTCCACTTCTGGAGGCGTGTGGCTGAATGATTCACCTGTAAAATTTGCATGATAAACGTAAACTATGTTATTTATTCTGTAGTGGTGTGTGGTGGTGTTATATGTTCAAACTTGCCTAGACTAACTTTTGAATAGTGTAGTTAGAAAGACTGTATTTAAAATAAGAAGGTGGCTTAATTTATTTTGAATTTATTTTAAGATGATGAGATCATGAAAAAATAGATATTAACAATGCTGACTAGACATGAAAGTTACAAAGTTAATAGGTAAACAAGAATGCATTTTATAAAATTTTACATTTTCATGATAAACGTTACGCATGATAACCATGTAGGTATTTATATATACCTATTGGTGAAAGTCTTCTCTCGTGTCTGGGACTTTTCATTGGCGTTTGTTGGAAAGCTAGTAGACACTTATTCATTTCTCTTAATACGTTGTCTTCTTCCCATTGTCCCAAAGGCAATTTGCTGTAATCTTCTGCGTCCATAAGACATACTGTTACCTGTCAACAATAAATCAACTTGTGTTATGGATATTCTTTAACAGTGACTTCAAAATAAATATCAGCGTAGCATGGGTGTAACACTACAGCATTGCCGTACCATGAACTGTACATTGCCGTTCCTACTGTCATAATAGATGTAAGTTTTCATTTGTATTGTAAATTACCTGTGCCCCGCGGTGTTACCCGCGGTTTATTTGGGATATTTTCCCGCAGTGAAATGTAGCCTATATGTTAATCCAGGGTGTCAGCTAACTCCATATACTACATTTTATTAAAATCGCTCCAACCGTTTAGACGTGAAGAAGTAACAAACATACACACTCACATACTCTAGCCTTTATAATATTAATGTGATAGGTAACAGTGTAAAACTAATAATACCGTTTTCGGTTCCTCAAGGAGTTCAATCTTCGTCTTTTGTCTCTTATCGCAAATCCTACTAAATAATCTGACGCCTTCCACTTTTAGGACCTCGTTGTCTTCGAGCGCCTCCACCGACAGCATCGCTGGTAGAAGTTCCGGCATCATGAACATCGCTAGCGATTCCTGAAATGCATTAACATATAGTAATTCGGAGTTATTTAAAAAAAACTCTGAATTATTATAATAATAAATATATAATAATAATAAATATTTCCAACACCCACACCAATTAGCCTAGCCCCAAAGTAAGCACTGTAAGGCTTGTGTTATGGGATGCTAGGGTAGCGGATAGAATACATATACTGTATATTTATATAGAAATACATATTTAACATCCATGACTGGAGTGCAAATGTTCGTATTCATCACACAAACATCTGCCCCCAACGGGATTCGAACCCGGAACCTCTGAGTCGGCGACACCATGAAACCCGGCGTACAAACCACTCGGCCACGGAGGTCGTCTAAAAATTATTATGTAATGAAAGATTACCCCGCGTTAACCCGACACAACTTTCGAACTTGTATAGGCATTTATAAATCTAAAGAAAATTTTAATAGAAAAATCCTGTGTGGTTCCTGGACCGGGTGGATTTTATTCAGTAAAGTTTTCTCAAAATCTCTTTTTAGATTCTGCTCGCAATCGCAACATCATCACCTTGTTTTTGGGGAACCTTTTACATGGAAGAAAAATATCCAAATATGCCAAGTAACGTATCGTGTAAGGTTTTTACCTGTGATTCCCCGTCGATCAAAACTTCTCCACCAATCCTACTCGACGCGAAGCAGACCCTGATCGCATCATCGTTCTCGCACCTCTCAGGTCTTCCTTCGTGCCTCACAAGCAGTTTGCACAGAGGCAAAGTGCACTCTAACCAGTCTTCAATAGTCAACCATTGTTTCGAAGTCATAACCTTCAAAGGATGATAGGAGGTTTTATATAAAATTTCGTATCTACAGATCTCCCTTATATGTATTCACTAAACGAATTGGGAATAGTGCAACGAATTTCAATTATTTTTCATCGATTGCGTTTTAGACAATGTGCTCTTCAATCTGTTATTAAATAAAACGATAGAAGTATTTCTTACCTGACGGCTTATTTTAATACAACCATCTGTACTATGTTTATCTAACCACTCAAAATAATGCAGCAAGCTTTTTAACTTATTCCTCTGTGATTTCCTGAGAAAAAAAGTTACTTCATATAGTTATAATATTTTAATACATTTTGACGATAACCGATCAGTCGGAAAATAATTATTAAAATGCAATCTTGCGCAAACTTTTGCGTACACATAAAATTTGTATCCGACGTATGACCAAAAATAAATAACTGAGAGATTATTGTTCTTTGGTAGTAGGTACCGTTAAACTTTTGGTCTATCTGCATTTTCAGACTTTCGGTGGCACCGTATGAGGTCTGTATGGTTTAGTATGGCAGTGGCGTGAATTCACACTGAATTGGCGTACCTCAGCAGGACAGTGGTAATTATTTATTACCCGCTCTACAATTTTAAGATATTATTATACTAATGTTAACTTCGACTGAACCAGAAATAGGACGTGGGTGAAAACAAAAAAAAATTAAAGTTCAACCAAAAGATCATCTTACCTATGTAAATTCTTAAAAAAATGCGTGAAATTGAAATCTTGGAGCGTTGGGTGCGTTTTGAGCGTTCTCTTTGGAAAAGTTGAGAAAAACGCATGAGCAATTAAGGACGACACGAAATTGTAATCCAGTTCTGTTACATCACCTGCAATAAAAACGAAAATCAATTAAGTCTAGCTCTTTCATAACGTCTGTTTTCTGTTATGTCGGAAACGGAACACCAGTAGAGTGGGGTAATTACGAGTAGTTTTCCAAGAAATTTAGCAGGCATTCTATGGAATAGCTGATTCTAGGCTCGAACTGGACACCCTTTTGGGTAGTGCTTATCTATCGTTCATTTCACAGAAGACCACAGTAAAATAACACTACCTTTTGGTCCTTTTTATTTTTCGTTAGTTTTTAAGGTTCCAGGGCTCCACGAAAAAGGTAAATATTCAGTCCGGCAAATTACTTCACCACTCCTTATGCTAAGAAGTGAAGTGGTTTCGAAGATGCAAACAATCCTCAGTTTCGAGCTACCCCCTATCTACACTGTAACCGTGACCATGGAATACTTGCATCTTAGTCATCGCCCTCTGTAAGGTGGGTTACCCACGGAAACTCAACAAATAATAAATTATACTTTTTTATGGTAACGCAACTAAAATTCACTGTGTTTTACCCATCATGAAGCTATATAGATATATAACTTCACGGTGCTCTCTTAAAGAAGTAAGTCTTGGATGAATTAAGGGTAGGTATCTACTATTACATTTAAAATTAAAGAGGGTTCACGCATGATGATGACTCACTTTGCTGTTGCAAGCTGAACACGAGCCCTTTAGGCGGTCGCCACTTCTTCAAATGCAAGGCTCTGTTCACCATTATCCTGATGGTGTTGTCCAGGAAGTTTCTGCGCTCTTCCTCAGTCATCTCCTCGTCCAGGAACTGTTCCAGCCCTTTCATCAGCTCTGGGTCTTTGATGTCATCATCTGGATCTATGCCTATGCTATCGAAAAAAAAGAAGGCAGGTGATCATCTATCATAATGTATCTAGTGAGACCAAGGTAAAATGCATAAGAAATTGTCAGTTTTGGGTAACTTGACCTGTGACTTGTACGCCAAAAACAGGGGGGCTAATTGCCTAACTTATCTCCTTTGCTTTCCCCCTCAAAGCTACAACAATTGACATATCAAAAAATATATATTTCCATCATATGAAATGGAAGGGATTGCGGAACTATTATCAAGTTTTGCCCAACTGACTTTTTGTTCTATCTTGCTGAGGAATATGATTCAGATTTGATTAACCAAAGTTGTTGACTGTATGCATTATACTAATTTTAACAGTATTTTGTCTATAGGTATATAGGTAGTTCACAGTTTGCGTTTAGACAAACTATGTACACTACATTTGTCCATTAATCTATTCTACATTTAGGTATTCAATATACTGTTGCTTAGTGGTACCTATAGCCAGCCACAGAAAAAATGAAGCACAAGTAGTTGTTCATAACTATAGTAATATCGCAATAGTGTGACAAGGTTCTAAAGTCGTGGAAGTGGAGTAAAGTAGTGGATTTATAAACACTCACTTGCACATATCGTGAATTTTCAACATGCTGGCAGTGAGCTTGTGCGGCGCTGAAGCTAATAGGAGATGCTTCAGATGTCGCTGCACAGAGGTCCACCAAGGAAGATCGCATGGCAACATCACTAGCGCCATTCTTAGGACAAAAATAAAATACAGTTGGTTTATTTATTCTTAAAATATACAAAGTAGTTTAATTATTGTAGGTCGTAGTAGCAGTACTTATTAGACAAATACGCAAGTCCAACATATTGTAATTTATTGCCTTAATTACAAGATTGGTCCTAGTAGGCCATTCAGGATTGAGGATTTGCACCATTGAATTAGTATAATCCTAGGGTATTGCCCCATAATGCCCCTCCTAGCTACGGCCCTGGCCTTATGATATTTCATATCTTTTGATATTTTTCTCTTCTTTTATCAATTTCCGCTGCTTTTTGTACCTAAATTAGAAAATAATGTCTATAAATGTTACCTACCTCCTGAGTATATTTCATTACTACACTACACATTAAGTTCCTAAATAGCTTTAACATACATGAAGGGATAGCAGGTATTTATCAATAATATCAAAGCTATAAAACGAGATTTCTTATCCGTGGCATAGTTAAACGTAGGATGCTTTTAGTTACCAAGCATTAGGGTGCGGCCAGAGTGCACTCAGATTCAGAGTCAGATTCAGATTCTGAAAACAAGCGCGAGAAATAAACAGTGTAGTCTAAGCAGGTTGCCTGCTTTTTCTCGCGCTTTGTTTTCTGAGTCTGAATCTGAATCTGAATCAGGAGTGCAATCTGGCCGTACCCTTCGACTACACTGTTTATTTCTCGCGCTTGTTTTCAGAATCTGAATCTGACTCTGAATCTGAGTGCACTCTGGCCGCACCCTTAGGCCCGCGATGCGAACGTTCCGTTATGCGCACCACACCAAGTTTCTGTTCGATGTTTGACATTTTATAGATCTATTTTAATCTGTCTTACTTTGTGGAGTTTGTGGCTGTCAGTCAAAGGAAAAGCCCGAAAGGTTATAATGTTTTGAATTAGTTATCGCTAAAATTAAAGTTATTTTGAATATTTAATTGACTTCTAATCAAATTACCGCAATGGTTTTCTAAAATGTGTCATGTCATTATAGATAAGAATTAGTATTGGCTCTCTCTACGAGTGATATAAGTTATTATCTTGATTTTATCAGTGAAGTGGCGAATTGATATGAAATGCAACAATTTTGACTGTTAAAATATCACATTTATTACTCTCTAATAACGTATGACTGCATAATTTTCTATTGAGAACTGAATGCAAGGTTACGTTTCTGCTACATTCTTAATTATAACCTATTGCTGTTTGGTATCAAAGTACACGAGAGCCAAAGTCCACTGCGAAAGCATCGAAATGACTGTGAAGACAAAATTATTAAAGGCTTTGATATTAGGTGCACCTGCTTCAGGAAAGGGCACTATATCGTCACGTATAGTGAAGAAATATAATATAGAACATGTATCTAGCGGAGATAAACTAAGAGATCACATTGAAAAGCAAACTTTATTGGGGAAGGAGGTGAAAAAATACCTGAATGAAGGAAAACTAGTGCCAGATGATGTGATGATAAAATTCATGATTACAGAACTGGGTAGTGTACAAGGTAAGCCATGGTTGTTAGATGGTTTCCCAAGAACAGTTGGACAGGCACAGGCATTGTGGAAAGTACAGCCAGTGGATGTTGTGTTAAATCTAGTTGTGCCATTTGAAGTTATAATTGACAGAGTTAAGAATAGGTGGGTGCACTTATCATCGGGTCGGGTGTACAATATAGATTTTAATGCTCCAAAAGTACATGGTAAAGATGATGAGACTGGTGAAGATTTGGTACAACGCCCAGATGACAAACCAGAAGCTGTGCGGAAGCGTCTTGAGATTTATGAAAGTGTCACAAGACCAGTAATTGAATTTTACAAAAAGAGAGGCATTCTCAAGGAGTTTAAGGGGCGAACTTCGGATGAAATATGGCCAAAAGTAACAGCTTACTTAGATCCCATATTAACAAAGTAATTTTTTTTCTAAAATGTACACTCAAATATGCAAAGATGATATGATGTAAGTAAATAACAAAGACAGCCAAATTTTTAAGTACTATTATGGTCTTATTTATATTGTAAGTAAAACCAAAACCAATTATTTAATAAAGGTAGTGAATATGCTATTATTTTTGTAGATTAAATATACTATAGGTTTATTTGTTGAAGATTTTTCATTATTGTAATTAAACCGCAGTACCTATACATCAAAATCAAATTATTTAGATGTAATTTTGATAAATAGTTTTAACTTCTTGAATTTTTACATTCATTTTATTATTGGAGATTATGTACTTATATAATACTTACTTTATCCTTAAATTGATAAACAAATTAGCACAAAAATAGATGTGATTTTGTGTGATAAAATGTAATGTTTATGAAGTTAAACATAGTATAATATGCACAAAAATATTATATATCGACAGTGGAATGGCAGCATCGCTTATATGCATCTTCGTTCGAAATGAAGATTTAAGCAACTAAATTTTTTGAAGATTTTCATTGTTCAAAACGAAGTGATATAAATTTTGGTGTTTTTTTAAACCATTGGCCCTTACGCCCTGCTATTGGTATATGATTTGATGTTTGCTTGACAAAAAATGTATGGCATGCTAAGTGATTTTCATTTAAGCCACATCTAATTTGTAAAGTAAAGGCATTATGTAACTTTTTAATGGGAGGATATTTAGAAAATATTATTTTATGAATATGTTTTTATTTTTATAGCGCTATTTCTCATGTATAATGAGTTATGATTGTTCTTAAAAAATAATTTTGATTCTCATTTCTGTAAAATTACTAAAGTGGCGTTTAAGCAATTTCGCTTTTCCACTGTCGATATTTATTTTGATAAATCATTTTTAATTTGGTGTATTTTGAATATTATTATGTCAGTGAAATACCACTTTAGTCAATATTCTGAGTGTTATATTAAATTATTATACATGGTCATCAATAAAAAAAAATATGAAAAATGTTTGAGTAAAGTCAACAATTGTTTTTTTTTCGTTTTCCAACAAAATGGAAAACACAAAGTGATAAATAATGTAATAAAGTAAACTTTAATGCCATGAAGTAGTGCCTTGAATATAAAGAAACAAATAGATGTAAGTATCTGTGATGTAATAATTGAACATAAAGCAAAATGTAAGCAGTTCCTTTAACACATTCTGCACTCAATATCAATGAATTTTGTATAAATATATTACTTATGTGTGCAAGTTAATAGTTTTGTGGTTCAGTCATCAGTTTTCAATTAAATATTACTGTTGATTTATGTTGTTATTATATATTAAAATTTGATTTTTATGTTATTTTGTATTTTATTTTAACATAGAAAGTTAATATGTATTTATACAAAAAAAGGGCCATGTGCGTGTCAGGCGTTAAAATCCCGACGTTAGTCGATTCGTATTTTCAACTTTACGCCTTGTACTATTAAGTATTCTGTGATGTAACTCCCTACTTTCGAAATGGGACGTTGACTTTTCAAAAGTCCCGAGTTAAAAGAGCGCCCACTACATACGGACATATGAAAAATCTGAGTTATAGGGTAGGTATTCCACCTTGGTACTATTATTTCACTAGGTACGCTTATTTTACATAATATGTCAAGTTAGTTCCTTGAACTTAGTCTTAACGGAATTGCTGAGCCACGTCGGCGTAAGTATATAGGATATACATACCACGGACAATTCTGTTTACCGTCACAACAAAGTAAGATTGAGGAATGAGGAATATTTAGTTTGTGTTTGTGAAGTTCAGAAAGGCTGGCTTGTCCAAAGTCACTATTCTGATCTTTTATTGGAAGACCTATCAGAACAGTGTTATCATATTGGAGTAGGAGCAGAAACATAGAATACCACCAAAAATTTTTTTCTTTTTGGGGAATATTCTCCCATTCCTCTGTGAGAGCAATTTTGAGCTCACGAAGCGTAATTAGGGGAGGGTTTCGTTGTTTTCTCGCGCATATCCCTAGCTCGCCCCAAGCATGCTCGATCGGGTTGATATCCGGGGTGCGTGCTGGCCACTCCATACGAGAAATGTTTATCTCTTGAAGGTAGTCAATTAGTAGGTAGGTAATTCACAATCCAACCTGTATGAGGTTGGGAATTGTCATGCATAAAAATAGCATCCTTACCTAAATTGACCATAAATGGACTAACGTGTTCATTCAACATTTCTTCCACATATCTTTCGCTAGTTAAAGAGCCATTGTCTATGAACACCAGTTCTGTGCGATTCTCAGAAGAAATTCCCACACAAATACAGACCTTCCACCGTAGGCTACTTTTTCTTCGATGCATGCTTGCTAGAATCTTTCCCTAGATCTTCTATATCCTCTGTGTCTTCCATCGTGCTTGTAGAGCATACATTTTGATTCGTCGGAGAACATAACTTTTGACCAATCATCAATAGTCCAATTTAAGTAGTTATGGGCATATCTTTGTCTTGAAATACGAAGCCCACGCTGCAGTTTAGGGCCGTTTGGAGGTTTAACTAGTTTCAAGCTAGCTTCAGAAAGTCGTCGTCTTACTGTCCATTCGCTTGGGTTATTTCCTCTGAGGCGTCGAAAGTGATTTGTAATTTGAGTTCCTGTGAGAAAGCGATTTTGAAGCATGGTTTTCACCAAGTATCGATCTTCTCGTGCTGTGGTACACCTAGTTCTGCCTGTGAACTGGTGAACGCTTTGTACTGTTGACAGCGACACACCGACGGCCCTGGCTGTATCGTGCTGACTCCGGCCGGTTTCCAGCATTGTAAAAATTCTAGTGCATTCTTCAGGTGTAAGCGACATGATTACAGCTTGAATAATTAATATTAAACCCTATCGACATGGTTTGTATGAATGATAAATGACAGATTCGAAACAAGAGGAAAAACAAATGCAGTAATTTCGTAGTTCCATCTTCGAAAGTCTTCCTTTTTCAAATTTGATTTTTTTGTAATATAACTTTACAATAACTAAGATTGCTCAAATTGGCCCAAATGCACAAAAAATATTGACATACACGGTAATTCTTGCCGTAATTTATAATTTAATTTACAGTCATTAGATTTCAACGGACACCTTTGTATAATATATTTACTTTAAAAAGGACTTTTAATTTTATCGGTTTGGAAAACATACGAATCATTTTTAATGGCTATGGGTTTAGTAACATTCAGCCAAAGACTGATCGAAGTTGTTTATATAAAATAAATAAAAATCTATTTTGTAAAGATGGATAAAATAAATCATTTTTTTATAACACTGTGGTATCCACAACTATATTATCATTTTCACTACATGCAAATGTGCTCAGACAATTATTATAGATGGTAGGCGACATCATAAAGTCTATTGCCATACATTTTTCGCCAAACACCTCCATAAACACATTATAATCTGTTTAAATGTTAGACTTTAAGGTATCTATCTATGGGCCTACGTTGCCTGACTATGAATTAATAAATAAATAAAATTATAAGGTGTGATACACTAAAAATGCAAAATATGGTTATTAAAAACAACAAAAATAATGAAGCTACTGTATATATGGCTATATAACCTAAATCTCTTTAGCTTTCTTTGGTTAACGAGAGTTTAAAAATTCTCTCTAATCTGTGGCTTATTCACAATCATCACACAGTTTCTGCCACTGAGTAGGTACCTTATTATAACCGGAAATGCAAAGATGACACCTGATTTTAAAAGTTACTCTTAAGCAGTAACTTTAAAAACAGGCAACTATCTGTTAATCTACATGCTCTATATACCTGAATGTAATCCATAATTTCGGTACTTGGCTTGATTTCCCTAGTTTACTATACAACTTATTTGTTTTTTATTATTTTAATATGTTCGGTGTATATGGTTTATAGAAGTTCTCAGGGGTGTCCGTCAATAATATTCGTTTCTACAGTAATTTATATATAATATCGAATCTAGGAAACAATTTTTCATGATTATTGGTCTTTAGGCCAAACATGTATGGAAGCTGAGCAATCTCCTTTTAATATCTTCATTTAAGGAGTATTTAATTGTCTATTAATTAGAATTTATTTCATTTAGCTAGCATTCTTAGTTTGCGAGATTTTGAGGATTCTTTCAGTGACCCGGATTCATTGCTCTCGACTGTTGTTTCATTACTTTTCAGAAACAATAGTTCTTGTAGTAACGAAACGGCCACGTCACATATTTTGACTAAGGTGTAGAGTTAGTGAAGTTAGGGCGTCAGCTCAGATCTAATGTACCCCACATGCTATGCACATGCTTCACCAGTTCACAGGCTACATGAGATCTGATAACCTTTTAACAGTGCGAGACATAATGGTCTCGTCTTGGCAACATTTTACATGAAAATGAGGATGATTGAGGGACTACCTTTAATAAAAAAATGGGTGCGTGTACTTATGTAGGCGCGTGAGAAGTTATCCTTCTTTGGCATCGTTTAAAATTAGTTTTTAATTGCATGCAAATAATTAATTACAATAAATTAATAAAAAATCTGGAAAAGGACGAAGTCAATAAAGTTCAGTTTTAATTTGAAAAAATAAATAAATAATCAAAATATTCAATTAAAATCGCTACTGAATATAATTTATTAGACCATATGTGATTTGCACTTGTATGAAACTCAAACACGTATTCCGAATATACAAACTAGAAACATGTGGATTAATATTATAAATATGAATACCTATAACTGTTACTTTATTACAAAAAATAAAGATGTGGTTTTTGGTTCTACTACACCAATGGTCAAGAGATGGCGCTTTAGTCTCCTAAATCGCGCTTTGGTTCCGTTGTTCCAGATTAATAAATACTTTTTGTTACTTTATTACAAAAAATAAAGATGTGGTTTTTGGTTCTACTACACCAATGGTCAAGAGATGGCGCTGTAGTCTCTTGAATCGCGCTTTGGTTTCGTTGTTCCAGATTAATAAATACTTTTGATAGGCCTTCACAATGCAGTCGTTAGTACCCACTAAATAGAGATTCCATTTCTATTTTGTTGGTAGATTTTCTTAATGTGCGGTAAACACAAAAGTGACGC